TCATTTAAAGTAGATAATTCTTGAGACGACAGACGCGTAGCAGCTTCTACTTTTAACTGTTCCAAATTCTTTCTTAATGAATCTCGTTCACGTATCGCTTGCTGAAATTTTCTTTCTAAGGCAGATAGTCGTTGTGTATATTCATCAGTGATCTGATTCAAGCTTTGGCTTTGTTCTGCGTGTTTCTCAAAATTATCAAGTTGCCTATATGAAATACATAAATAAAAATGTAAGAGTACTCCATAAAAATAAAAGAGCAATTATGCATTGTCTGATTATTACGTACTTCTTCAAAACTTACTTCTTCAAGTTGTTATTTTGTTCGTGTAATTCCATATTCATTCTACTAACATCAATGAGCTTCGATTCTCTGGCTTCTAATATTTCTGTCATCTCTTGTATACGTTTCAATAACTTTTCTATTTCAACATTCATTTCATCAGATCCTACGCTGATTTCACTCAACTCCCTTGAATGTCCTTTAGTTTTTAATGTTTTCATTAAGAGATCACAGCCCTTTGTTGATTGCAATTTTTGTCGCGATTGTGTAGAACTCGAATCACCATTTGGACTTTGTTTCAACAAAAAGAAATTTGCTATTATATTTATATTTATAACATATAAACTATATGTAGCATGCGTTATATAAAGTTAAATTATAGATAATTGCTATTTTATAATTACACCTATACCTGGATATAACTTCGATATCGCTAGAAGTGGTGGTTTCTAATTCATCCCCACTAGTGTGACCACTGGTTTGATCGGAACCAATTTTAATCAGATCGGACCGACTGTAATAGATGGAATCAAATTTATATCCTTAATATAATTTTAATGGAACAAATTCCTCAAATATAATACCTTTCTGACGAAATAGGTGAATTTTCTCGAGGTATTTCCACACCTTGTACTTCTGCTTCGATGATTTCACCACCTTTTTCGATCATTGCATCTTCTAACATTGTTTTTACATAGGAACTAGAATTCAAGGGAGCTTGTAAAATTCTTTCTTCCGATTTATACTGTGGATTTTCTTCTGAACTCTCTATCAATGTTCCTTCACAACTTGAATCTGTTGAAATTAAATGTTGATCTGAAACTTCGAGCATTTCTGATTTAAACGGATGGATAATTTCACTGGCAGAATAACGTTCCGTTTCTGTCGGCTCTATTGTGGAATTTAATAATCGATCGTAACTTTTTCTGTCAGGTTTAGTTTTTTGATCTGCTCCATCAAAATATTCAGGCTTACGAATCGGTTGCGTTGTAATTGCTTCAATTGGCAGATGTAAATTATGCTTTTCGCTTGAGGAATCTAGACTCAAATTTAGCCTTGTATCTGTGCTAGCTTTTTTCGACGTTAGCTTGTCATCTGAACATGAATCTTGCATTTTTTCGCTTGTACTAAGATTTTCTGTTTTATTATGTGCTTGTTCTTTCTGCTGAAATGTTTCTAACATCGTTACAATTGTACTTTCTGATGCAGAAGTGTAAGAATCTTCTGCCAAATTCGCTTCATCTTTCTCATCATCAGTGTAAGGTAATACTTCTATGCTTTCTGGGGAAACTTTCGTTGAATGGGTACTGGATGCGCTTTTATATAAATGCGATCCCATACCTTGATATGTACCAGTAGATGGTGTACTATCCATACTGCTCATACATAAATTTTCATGTGATGTCTTGATTTCATCCATTGGAGGTTCGTATGAAGAAATATCAGAAAATGATGGATTTATTTCATTTTCTTTATTCATAATGTGGGGGACATTAATATCATCCCAGCAAGGGGTCACTGTATCGTCTCTATCTAAGATAGATGATGAATCAGAGTGTCTTTGCTCCATAGGAGATAAATAAGGACTGGTATCACTTTTCCAATCTTCTAATACTTCCACTCCAGAGCTTGGAGATGTAACCATACTGTCTGGTAATACTTCTATCGACTCAGAATTAACTTTAGTACCCTTAGTAGACGGACTGCCATCCAATTCTGGAGTCGTAGTACAATCAGTGTTAGATCGGGAACCCAGAATTTCAATGCTCTCTGAACTTTTTTTGTCATTTTCTGGAGATACAAAAGATAATCTGTTTGATGTAGAAACAGGTGAATCTAAATCATGCTCACAAGGTTCTTTTTTTTCAAATTCTGACTTTTCTTCTTCCTCTTTAATATCAATATCTTTCTTTTCCTCTGAAGAATATTCAATTATTTTAGGACAATTATTAATGTTATCATCTTTGTCAAGAGTTATACTTGTATCAGTTGTTTCAGATGAAGGAAGTTGCTTTACATCATCAGATGTATTAGAAATATCTTCACAAGAAACATTTTGAACCTGATCATGAATTTCTTTTTCTTTGTAATTTTCTACTTGCCTAGATTTTTTCTTAGGACTTAAAGATTTACTTTTGTAATCTTCTGAGAATGATGATGAAGATACAAGCTTTTTGTTACTTTCAGTAGGTGTGCTTTGTAAGGACTTTGACTGCGCAATTGGTTTAATACTTTGTCCTGGTTCATTAAATTTAGGTGATTCAAAGAATGACCCAGTAAAACTACCCCATATACTGCTTGTGGCTTCTTGTTTGGATGTTTTAGGCTTATCACGGTGTGGTTGTACATTTTGATGAACATCACTCTTTATCCCCCATGATGCAAAAAAGTCTGATGTATCCTCTGTATGGCTTCCCACTGGTTTTTGATCCTCATCTTTAATATCAAGTGCCTTATCGATTGTCTTTTGAGCTTCTTTTAAAGCAGATTTGGCCAAATTGGCAAATCCAGTGGCATCAAACCAGCTCATTCTTTATTGTATCTAAATAACATGACCGTAATAGATATGAATAAAAATGGATATTAAAATAAAGAATAAATATTACATAAATAAAGTATTACATTAAAAGAAATTAATTTTATTGAAAAGAGAATAAGAGAATAAAATTAGAGGTTAGAATGTAGATATGTAACAATGTTTATAAATTGTATATCATATGTAGACTGAAGAATTCATGCGTAATAATTTAAGAAAAAATCAAAAATAATAATCAAATCAAAATAAGATAAGAAATTATTGTTTATACTTTTCTATTAAAAAGGCAAAGAACTCGATTTTTTACTATATTTGAATATAAATTTAAAATTATATTAAAATTATTAACGTTAGCATATTATAACGTCATTTGTATAAACAAAATATATTGAATACCAGATATTGACAGTAGCAATGCAAGAGGAAAGAATTATGTTTATTTGTAAATTTACTTACTTGCATATCGTCTTAAAAAATTCTTGCAATATATAAACTAATGAATCACCAAAAAATAAGAAAACTCGCCTGTAGAATGTTTTTAAACTATTGTTAATGTAAATTCGTACTAACTGTTACACTAGAACGAAAATACTCATATGCGCATGGTGACATATTATGTAAATGTTTCTTTTGCATAATGCGTTATAACAATTAAATATACATATATGTTACTTTGACAAAATTTATATGTCCACAGGAAAAACAGCAGAAAAGATGTACATAATTCATTGGTTGCTTAAGAATAATAGTACATTTTCATTCGCGTAATTTTAAATTTCTTTATAACGAGCAATCACGAATCACTTGAACTTTTTTGAATTTCTAATACTATATAAATGTATTTTGACGCGTCAACAAAGTGTTCACTATGAGGTATATTACTTAGGTACATGATATGCGTACGAATGCACTAACAGTATCAGTATTTTCGATCATAGAAAATTCTTATCTTCGTAGGAGCAATATGTTTTATTATTAAAGTTTCTTTTACAATGTCATAAATTGCAAATCATGGTTAAGTAAACGCAATGTTTTACAATATAATATATTTTTTTTTAAATCCAATAATAAAATTCCTGAAAACTGTTCTTAGAGAGAAATATTTCCAATAGCTCCAGTGGCGCAATTGGTTAGCGCACGGTACTTATAAGACAGTAAGTCGTGAGCAATGCCGGGGTTGTGAGTTCGAGCCTCACCTGGAGCAGATTTTTTTATTTCTAAATGACTCTTTTAATAAATTCATTACATATCGTTAAATGTTTTGAACGTCTCTGCCAGAATCGCTATTTAAAAAATATACACATATAACTTACGTGAATAAATTTCATATTATGAAAAAAAATCAAGGACAGGTTTATTTGCAAGTTTTGCTTGCTTTTATTAATCTGATTTTATTTTACGAAAATCGAGTTGGCAAATACCACGCGTCTAATTCTGTACAAAGTTTCAACCCAAGCGCAAATAACGCAGCAGATGCTAATATGCTTCTAATAAACGGATCGTTTTTTAAAGCATAAATGACGCAGGAAAGGGAACAAGTGCAGACGTCTTCAAAGTAACCTGAACCCTTAGTTAATAAATAATGGTCTACGACTCTTTGTCTTTCTTCGAGTTTACGTATTCTACTTTCTACAGAAATCATTACTAATTACTTTCATGTTTAACATCGACAATGACAACAAATAACAAAATATACTTGCTTTGCGATATGC